GGTGTGTGATAGACTTACCTCCACGTGGTGCACCCTAGGCAACGTATACTCATACGGCAAAAAAGTCTATTACCTGGCAGTTGACTTCAAACTACCATGACCCCACTGTATGTCATATTCGACTACTTTCACAGTACTCATCCCACCTTTTTTCCACCTTATCTACCTTCGTCTTTGATACACTCTTCTGTCCCTCCCCCCTCTTGGATTTTTTACACTTTGATGTTCCTTCCCCTCTGTGAAGCCTGAAGTCAACTAAAGGGCTAATGATAACAATCAAAACGCCTGCCATTTGATATAATAATAATAACTATTATTATTATAATTTTTGTCGTTACCAACCACTTTTGCCCTATCTTGATGAGGTATGTATCTACTCATATCGATATATAAGGTAGTATAGATGCCAACATGTATGCATGCTCCATTTTATTTAAACAATGTCTCCTCCCTGACATCTAAAGCGGCCATAGAACGCATTTGTTGTCACATAAGGAGCAGATAAAAACTTAGGGTAGATTAAAAAAAAGCTTACAACGGATTCGAAGCAGGCATTTCTTAGCCTCTCATCCAACAAAAGGCGTAGCAAACGCGGAAAACCAACATATCCAGGGATGGAGAAGATTTCAGTGGGACTATTTCCAGTCAAAACTGTAGGATGAAGAAATATTGGCGCAGATACCGCTCTTATTGCTCCCAGTAGTTCTAACTGAGTCATGCAAATTCGAGCGATGCTACGATCGACGGAAGCCAATGAAGCAACTTGCGCAACAGTACGTCGGCCATTAATGTACGGCAAAAGACGACTGGAGACCAAATCTCTTGCCTCCCAGAAGGAGGTCTGAGATTGATCACAGTCACAGTCCGGATCGCATCCTTCGACATCCTGACATGGTTCCAATACGTAAGCAACGTGGTTATCAATGGAGGTGAGGATGGGGCGAACTCGAACAAAGACAGTTGAATCTGTGACCCTGGCGGTGCTGTCCTGGAGTGTTGAAGGGACACGAGACCAGACGTCGGTACCTCCTATAGGGGCTTCTCCCGAGCAACTTGAGTCGTCTAGACTGCCACGACGCTGCCACCCGGTTGGGAGTTCTGCCTCAGTGGGAATGAAGCAACTCGAAGCAGAATGATTCACAGCCCGGGGAGCGAACTGAAGAAGAAAATAAAAGACTTCTAATTCCACTAGACTCTAAGCAAAAAGAAGCTATGCTTAATCGTCCTTACCTGACGCCAAATTGTCCTTGCTAATGATAAACCATGACTAGCACAGGTGGCATTAAAGCTCATCAAGTGGACGAGCCACCATTATTGAAGGTATAGCAGTGGTGATATTGTCCAATTAAATTACAAAATTACATAAAGCTCTCTACCATTAGTCGTATTTATCACTTATATAGAACTACGATTTTCTCTGGTTAGGGAATATAGTTTAAATTACCCGCAGAAATCGATTATATAATGTAAATAATGAAGATGTCAAATTACGTATAAAAAATCGATAAACGACTCAAGCGTCAAGAAAGGAATAATGCCCTAAACAAAGTGGATATCGATATGTAACGTAGAGTAATTCCTAAGACTGTTACTACAGAACCCTACATTTTTCGTGTATAAAAAAATAATAGCTCTGAACTTGACGTTAAAATAACCAATGGGCATACACAAAGCAAATATAAAAAAATTACTACAGAGAAATCGGAAGTTTAACCAAATAAATAGGAATGGAGAACATGCTTGTTAATAATTGCAAAACTGATCCAAAAGCGAAAGCACATGCATTCAATTAGAACGCATTCGGTCATCATAATAAACAAATCAAAATGCGAAATTCCATTCGCAGAAATTGTACTCGTATTATTTTACAAAATGTTGACACCAATTTAGCAAAATATGATGCTTTTATTGCAGTATGAAAGCTAAACTGAGACAACGAGTTAGATAAAATAAAACAAACAAGTTGATTTTTCTTAGATTTCTTGATTATGAAACCGCGTGAAGCGGTAAAATTTGACGTTCCATGCTGATGCTGTGGGTTTTCATGAAAGATATCAAAGGTACCTAACCGAACTGGTAGTCATTACGGCTGAAACTTTTATACCAGAAAAATTGAGGTTTTACCTTTACCAGATATCTTGGCAAATAAGAATTCACATTATTCCAACAATATATTAATTTAGCGCTTCTTAGCTAGAAACATTTAAAATCGTTTTTGGGTCGGTACTTTGAACCCCTGGATTCTGTCGACACCAGTGAAAGTATCGAAATGCCAACTCAGCGGACCAATAGTATTTCTACAAGTGAACTAATTAGATGAAACTATGAAGACTGATTCAATCCAGATTCAAGAGAGGATTTGGTTTGCGTTAGGGAAACCGCATATCAAAGTAGGAAACCAAATGAGATCATAGGGGTGCCTTCATAAAAATCCACACATAATATGCCCTAGCTATTCTGTTAACTGAACACGCACACACAAAACACACAAATAGGTGGCGTTCCTATAACATCTGACTTTGTAGATGAGTATGTTAGCATGTATATCACTCGATAAAATACCAAAGCGCTTAGAACAAACCAATAGACCATTGGAAAACTCATGACTAAATAAGAGAGGTATAAAATGACTTACTATAAGATATAAAGGGGGAAGCTCATCACCCAAACCAGTGACACACAAACCCTGTTCCCGAAGATCGGTGTAAGTTTGCCGAAGAAACCGATGAATTAAGGTTTCACCCCCATCTTTGATGGTTTTTTTGATAGTATTTTGAGAAAGAGCCGCGTTTTCTTCCTCCATGTAAGCCAGGTATCGATTGATTTTCCTCACCGTGAGCTCATATGCAGACTGAAGAGCAGGTTGAAGACCATTCGTAGTGGTATCTACATCAAGAGGGAAGTCCTGACCAGTAAGATCGTAATTTTGGTGAAGGGAGGCTCGTGAGCGGACAATAAAGCAAAGGTTGAACAGCAGGGTGTTCCTACAATACTGCGTTCCTTCGATACGTTGAGGAAACCCAATAACAAAGTGGCCGAATTCGGCTATTGTGATAGGCTGGTCAGTTAATTCGGCACGAGGAATAATAGCATGAGAAATAAGTTTGAAATTCTCCGTCGAAATAAATCCATCAGGATACTGACAATCAATCATAGAACCCTGTACATTTTCAAATGTGCAGTAAATGACACCAGCAAGTTCCAACGCCTTTACAGCAGCCTAAAGCCAAAAACGAAGATATAAAATAAAATATTAATATATGCAGCTAGATAAAAGAAATTTCGAGAAAGATATATAAGCAATATTTCAACGTTTGTAAAAAATATTTAATGCGAAGATATTGCACTCTAAATTAAAAAGAGAGCTTTTAAATGACCTTTGATAGAGGTTATGTAGTATATTTCAAAATAAGCAATACGTATGTAATTTCTTAAATTTTAAGCAAATTTGTTTAAAATATTTGTTTTGTGAACATTTTATCTCTGTCAATACATATTTTATTTTGGTTTTATTAACTGCCCTTCAATTTATTTCCATCTTAGACTAACTTATTAATTGAAATTTATTTACTTTAGCACAGCGTAGTTAATTTATCATCTTTTACTAAAATTTTGAAATTTTTCCTGGTTTGCTTGCCTAATATTAACTTTCACTAAGTGGAGACTCATAGCTCAAATTCCATTTGCTAATTAGAACACTTTTATGGTTTGCACAAACTTTCAACTCAATTAAAGCTAAATAGCATAGATCATATATCGGTATTATTCTCAATATTATATTTACACCTTCTCCCAGCCACTGGCTCAATGTAGCAGAGTTTCTTAATTCTTATCATGGGCATAGACAATTTCAGTTATTTAAATGTGTATATAAACTTTTGATTAGATAAACCCAGAGGTGAAAATTTGGCTCCTACATAATTCTTTCAAACATCGAATGGAATATCAAGACGTTAATTATATAGATTTCAATGGATAAAGAACTTTTGTTGAGAATGTTCAAAGAAAATTTTGAAGGCTATAGAAGATGATATGGAAGCGATATTGGTCGCCCACACATGATGTTTGTGCTATGCGCTGGTTCTGTTATGGACAAAAAGTTGTTTAATTTGAAATAATTTTAAAAGGGATACACATTTTAATTAGATTAGGCTCCTATTTTAATTCATCGTATTTTAAAATACTGGTGTGTATATTAGATGATGGGGTGCGTGATAGACTTACCTCCACGTGGTGCACCCTGGGCAACGTATACTCATACGGCAAAAAAGTCTATTAACTGGCGATTGACTTCTGGCGCAGTACTCATCCTACCTTTTCTCTGCCTTCATGTCTGTCTCTTTTACAACTGTAAATCACTCTTCTGTTCCCCACCCCTCGACTTTCTGTTACTTTGATGTTCCTTCCCCCTATGAAGCCCGAAGTCAGCTAAAGGGCTAATGATAACTATCAAAACGCCTGCCATTTGAAATAAATAAATATTAGATGATACATTTTCCGAGGTCATAGCCGAAATGGGAATACAAATGATATAATTTGAAGCAAACCAATACGTCATTGGTAGATATACTTGTTGCCAATGTAAATCCGCCAAACCACCAATATGAAACTTTCGCATTTGTAAAATTATTTTTAATCAGGTCCAATTCAATTGGTTACTCGAGTAGCTTGAACATCATTATTATTAAGTATGATAAAACAAAGGAATCTAACATTTGTTTAACATCAATTGCAATTGAATAAAGGATTATATAGATTATATTAACAATATACGGAAGCTTTCGGGTACGTCGTGGATTAGAGTCTATCGTATATTCTAAATACATTGCAATTTTTAGAGAAATACTTCTATATGGTTCCGTAGCCAGCCACCTCCCATAAGTCTCATTTAGAAATAGTCAATTAGGCAAGAACTTTCATCAGTTTTTGGAATGTCTGTTCCCCATTGATGATCTATTCAACGGTACCCACTCAACCCACATGTATTTTCAATGAGTCAATGATAATGACTAAGCAATGGAAGCATTGCAATACAACAATTGCCGATATCTTCCTGGATTGAAAATTTTGTAACCAATTCTTTTGGCAATCGGCCTGTAATGGAAGGTTGGAATTTGGAATTCATTCATTTATATGTAAAGTAAGCCTTGCATACGGCGATTGACGTTAAGAATTTCCCCATTGGCCGAGAAGGAAACTATTTTGGCACTTGGCTTAGTCAGCTAAAACTTCATTTCAAAATATTTATTACCACTCAGTCAACCTATAGTCAGAAATAAGAATGGCCAAGTTTTTAGCCTCTTGACAGTACTGTAATAATAAAGGTTACACAAAACTTTACCGCTCAATAACAATATAGTACTGCCTAATGTTTTTCTAGAGATCTAGTAACAAATATTAATGTTCAATTGAAAAACCAAAATATAAGCAAAGCATTACAGTAACAAACAATACATTGCAATTACGAAAAGCCAAATTTAAACTCAGATTATTTTACAATTTTGATCTGGTAATTGTTTTCTTTATCAGACTAAAAATTTTTATTTGATCATATGAAAATTCGATGTTATAGTTTCGCTTAAAAATAAAAAATATTTACTAAGCAATACAATAATTGACAAGGTTTATGTAGTTAGCATGCTTAAATCGTCATTTTTTTATTTTATTATCCATTCTAAACCAATGTATTTAAAGTAACATAATCTTAACAGTTTTCGCGTTATGTTTTTTAATTTCTCCACTCTACAAATGACCACAGCTTTTTGCTATTGAAGTATCAAAATTCAATATATTTTTAATATATGTATGGAATATTATATCAAGGTCAAATGACGGTTTGGCTAATCGTTGTCTCTACCGCTGAAATCGAGTAGGCGTGCCTTTGACGCCCGGTCTTGGTATTAGCGTAATGGGTAGCCTAGGCCTTCCGATTGATGCTCGAGTCAATATATTCAAATGGAGGGAAAAACACGAAACTCGGGTTTCTGAGCGGTTCAAGCGAATATGTTCCTCCGAAATAAGAAGGTATTTTTTATTAATTCTCTTCTTATCTAAACAGATTAAAAGCGCTTTCGGCTACAGGGTACAGAAATGAATCGGATGCAACACAATGGTTAATATCTCATCTTGATGATCCTATGCTTGACGAACCTTCTTATCGCGAGTTTTGCCTTTTCCTATGCGTTCATTCTGAACTCGCTATCATTGTTCAGGATTTTTGGAACGAAAACTCTATTAACGAAGGCAGAAATCACGCCCACGAATTCCCTCCACATATCACCCTTCTTTCAAATTTACGAGTTTCTGAAGATAAAGTGTTTCAACTTCATCGAGTCTACGATCGGATAGTACAGAATTATTCCCACCTACTTAAATTTGATCAAATTCCACTAAAACTTGTTACATCTGATGAATTTATTGGTTATATCGTTTCAAGTGATAAAGTTAATGCCGATCTTGAAAAAATCTGTCGTCTGTTTTTACAGGAATTACTTAAAGGTAATGTACTGGATATTTTTCGATTTTTTTCTGTAGCTGATATAATTTTTGATGATGATTCTATGAAGAGATGTAAATCAAAATACCACATGTCCCTTGCCTATGGCTTTCAATCCTCAAATAGAACTACTCTAGGTGAACTTCAAGACTCCTATAATATAAAGAATCAAGGTTCTGTCTCATGGACTTTGGATCTGTTTTCCGCGGATTACAGA